GGGATGGATGGATGGGATGGATGGATGGATGGATGGATTTGATGGATGGATGGATGGCTGGCTCGGTGGGTGGGTGGGTGGATGGATGCATGTCTGCATTATTCATCAACCACATCCACAACAACAGCAACCACGACGACACCCACGACGACGACCACCACCACTGCCGCCGCCGCCACAACAACCACAACAACAACCACAACCACCATGAAAACAACGACAACCTCAGTTTCCCTTTCCTCCACCACCTGGCCGGCGCCCGCTGTCAGGCGCAAGCCTTCAAATAGCCGTCCAAAGGTCCATGTTCAGGTTCAATGTGAATCTTCCCAGGTGTAACTGAAACTGTTTCTCAAAAGAAACTTCTAACCCAAGGTGTCACTGTCGGAAGGCTAAACGTGTTTTAGAAGTTTGCTTCCTCATCCTACGACGTTACATGATGTACTAAAGGATGGGTTAAGCTCAAAAACCTCCTGTTGAGCTCTACAAAAATATGGACGTATGTGATGTGGAAATACCACTTCAAATGTGACGTACTTTCACTCAGCAAGTACTGGCTGAGTGTTTAATTTGAAACACGGATGCCTCAGTCTGAACTGCTTGGGTGGTTTCAACTTCGGACACGCAAAGGCTTGCTGTGTCTATATTTGGTACACATCCACCTGAAAAAATGGCTGCTTGGGTTCCTCGATCTTCACGGCCGGCCGGCCCGCGCCGGAGATGCCAGAGTTTGAGCCCCCCGGCGGCATAGGCCGAGGCCGTAATCCAACGAAGGCAAATCCCCTGGGCCGTGGGAGGTTCGCGTCTGTCTCTCTCTCTCTCTCTCTCTCTCTGATAGCCAAACGTAAGGGCCAAAAGTCTGGCACACCCTCGGTCTAACAAGATCTACTGATCTACAGTAACAATCTGCAAGTGTTGCTGAGTGCAGCGGGGGGCATTGTTCAGGTCGAGCAACAACGCTCGCTGCTCGTGTCCGCTCCAAACAAGGGGAACACCTGGGGTGAGGAGATGTGAGGATGAATTGATTGACCCAGCAAATTCCATGTCAAAACACCCATCAACACAGTTGCTTTGGAAGGATTCAACCCTCAGGTGTGAATACTCCACAAGATACTCCACAACTCACCATCCTGAGGTTTCAGTTGTCCTTTTCACCACATGGTCCCTCTGTTTGCTTTCTGAACCAAACCACTGGCAGTCACGTGCACGCGGACTGCCGCGCGGCGCGGCAGCTCGCCCTGTCCGGTGACGCCTCCGTGTCCAGTCATCACGGCTTCACGGATCATGGCCTCTTCAGCCTCAGTTTGGTGAGCTGAAGGGCAAATCCAAATCAAATTCTTCAATGAATATAGAAATTAGAGTTGATAACACATGAGACCTCTGAGACCACCTCTAAAAAGACACAAAAATCCATACTGAAAATGAGTGCTCCACACTCCACTGTGTTTGTTCGAGTCAATGTAAACAAAAAAGAAGGAGGCAAAACACAAAGTATCCAAACGGAAAGCACTCACTAAGAAAGGCTTTGGAGAACAAGTGTTCCTCAGTCCCTCAGCATGTGTTACAAAAAAACATCCAAAAAACTCACTACAACGTCGACATATTGACAACCAAATCAACAGGAGCGTAACCAAACACTCCCGCAACCGACGACTAGTGGTGCCTCCAGGAAGGCTTGGGCGCTTTCCAAATTCTCCAGGAACTCCAAGCGCGAAGCTTTCGCCTCCACCTCCGAGTCGCTATTCGCGGTACGGAGGTGATTTGCACCCGGGTGCGCACAGTGCACCATCTGCTCAGCTACAGGTATAGTGAAGTTGCCTCAAAACAGGTGCGGAGTTGCTTTGAGATTGCTTCAGTTTGTTTAGAGTATTTTGGGCTGTGCAATGTCGTAGCACAAGGCTCTCATTTCCTGCGCTTTCAATGCGAGGTCGGGAGGCTCTCATTTCCAGTGTTTGCAAGCAGTGTTTAGGTAAAGACACTGAGAGCAGTCTTGGGTAGGGCTGGATAGGTAGGTGCAGGCGGGTATGGTAAGTCATTGGATACCAGCAAAGAAGCGAAGTCAGCAAAAGAAACAAGAACGGAAACAGCCGCAAAAGAGCAGAAAAAGACGCAGCAGCAAACAAGCTCAAACACAATGAAGTGGAACACATGGAGAATTAGAAAAACGCAGAAGCTGTTTCTCCGGAGAACCAATAAATCAAAATTACACATACAAGCAAATCCAAAAGAAACACAAGATCCGGAGAATACAAATACAACCCTTCCTTTGTTGCACTTTGTGTGTTCTGCACTTTGTAGCGAATCCGGGAGCTTTGCTCCAACAAGTCCCATTTCGAGTGTTTTCACCGCAGAGCCTTGGTTGAGACCCTTAAGTATCCAAACAAACACCCCTCTGAGTTTAGAGAACCGGTACCGTAGAACATGCGAAATGGTCACCACGCTTCTGCCACGTGGTCACCATCATCGTTTCAGTGGCAACGCTGGCTCAACGGCCTCCACATCGACCATACGTGATCGAAGTCAAGTGGTTTGGTCCAATTGGTCTTCTTCTTTTGCAGGTTGGAGGAGCAACCCAAGTGGGGTAGAAATAGTCATTGACCAGTCTGCAAAAGAAGCAGCGCAAGAAACAGGACAGCAGGGACTTGGGCCCTGTACTTCCTCCTTCTAAGCCGTTTGATCCTCTTCTGATCCTCTGTCCGCTCTTCCGCTTTCAACCTTGCACAGGCTCTTCCGTCACGGACGGTCTGGCCAGGTTGTTCCTGTCTCTACGGCGTTCATCTCGGTCGGTTCGCCAACCACGTTCCAACTCACGTCAACCGCAGGGCGTCCGGACCCACTCGCGATTGTAGATTGGGATGACTTTGCCAAGCCTAAGCGGACGGACGCCCGTCAGAATTCCATGTTTCCCGGAGAAAAACAAAAAATGGACATTGACTTCCATGAAATTAGGGAACAGAAACTCAAGCGGTGATTCTTTAGTCACTCTGTATTGCTTTGGAGGCTTTTCATATTACTTGCAGAGTCCCAACTCGGTAACTGCCGAAGCAACACGGATCCAAAGGTTTCGTTGACGGTTTATGGCATCCATCGGCAACAGCCACAACGAGCCGATCCAGCCTCATCTGCTGATATTCAGAAGCAACATGCACCTTCCATTGAAAAAAAAAAGAAAACATGATTCCGCACACACAATACACCTTATAACAGAACCCATTCACTATAGTTATACTGAAACTTGACCAGACGTGATCTACAAAATGTGTGGATTGGTCGTCGGTGGAGACATAGGATTTTCATCGATCCTGCGCATCCATCAACAAATCCTGAAGCAGGTCAACGTATCGCGTTAGTATGCGAGGTCTGTCGAGGTTGGCCAGGCGTCGACACGTTGAGTCAAAACGGAGGGAGTGACATGTCAATGCCATCAACACACACCCGTAGGTAGGGGCGGCCAGACTCCAGCGGAGCGAAGTGTTGCACGTTGAAATCATCATTGCCTAGGCATCTGTTGCACGAAACACGTTCAATCTCGTCACTCGATGTCCAACGCAATCGCCATCAAATGATGGTCTTTTCCGAGTTTGGGACCAAAAGCCATGATCAAACGACCTTACCTTCCATTCCAAAACATGCTAAAACCCAAGCACTGCCACCACATATGCTGTAAAGTTGATCACCTCCAAGCGATGGACTATGGACCTCAGTGTGTTCTTCTTCCCGGTCGTAACAAAAGGCTTTCCAACCGTGATCCTTCCGTCCGTCCGGGGAGCCCCACGTCCACTCTTGAGGCAAGTCGCACAGCAAGAGGGGCGTCTTCATCTGTCGTGAACGGCGCCGTTAGCGCGAGGTGCTTTCGGCACTCTAGGACGGTTTCGGCGCTGTGGTGGGGTTCTGCATCCATGGCGTAGACGAAAACTCACATGGACGCACGCAACCCGAGAAAGACGGTTTTCCTCTACAAACCAGTGATGTTCAGGGTCTATGAGAGTTTTCAATGGGTTTTACATACACAAATATGCATGCTATCCCTCCCTCCTCGCACCTATGAATGAGGCGCAACCCACCGCAAATATGCACACTCTCAAAAAAAGAGACACATGTGTTGGGTGCCAAGCACAACGGTCCTCACGAACAAGTGTCGAATCGTCCGCCATTCCCCCCGCACCGCGAGTCCTGCGCGTCCCATGGGTCTGAGGATATATGCATCGTTCGTCTTGTTTTCCATGCGCATATTTGATCTACTTGAAACACTATGTTGCCAAAGCAAAGCAAAAACAGTGGTTATGTCACAAGCTTTGAAGATTTTGAAGATGTACGCAGGTGAACATGAGCCAAAGAGAATGATCACGTGATAAGTGATAGGACCATTGTTCCTATCAAATGTGGTATATGAGGCATTTTAGCCGTCCAAATATGGTGACGAGGCAGGCAACAAAATCGCATCAATGATTGTTGGTATGCCTTACATGTGTTGTGGGTGACACTCACTAAATTAAACACCCAACAAATGCTGCGGGATTTAATGTTCAATCACCCAATATCTCTTATTTTCTGCAGCAACATGCAGCAACACAACCTGGACGGTACGGGGCAGACACACTGGAATAATTTCAAACAAATAACAGGTGTGGTGTGTTTGGGCATGAGCATCGCTATGACTCCAACAGCTAAAAAACACCGACCTGAAAACATCGACGTCACCTGACAAGCTGCTCGCACGGTTGCACTGGCATCCTGACCTGAGACAGTTTCACGCGGAGACCGCAACAATCTTTCTCTCCAGATGCCTTCATGCGTCCCTGAATATGATTTCAAGTCAACAAAATGGTGGATGACACATAGCTGGGGCGTGACACGCAATCTGCATGTTTAGGCTTTTGCAACATCAAAAGTTCAATCCAAAATCATGCGGACATGACATGTGCGGATGTCAAAACTCCTTCCAATCTCATGCCATCACACAGATTTGGAGGGGCCCCATCGCTTCCGTCAGTTTTGCACAACTTTAGAATTCAGTTTGGAGGGGAGGCATCGCTCACTGATAGTTGGTAAAGGCGAGTTTCAACCAAACAGGTGCATGCGTGAGCACGAACAGCAAAACTCAGCCAACATTCGAAGACCTTTGCAAGCAGCTAAGAACCTTCACCAATTTGTTGCTGCATCTGTGTTGGTTGCAAACCACCCTATGTTCAAGCGGTAAATGGTATACAGGCATGATAAAGGGCAATCGGGCATCGGTATCACTCGCGTTCGCATCGCTAGGGGTCTCGCTTGAGGCATCCCCGACTTGTGGCCCCACGGGAAATGACTGCAAAGCCTTGACCTCCTACAGGCAAAACATGCAAGTCATGAACACATGTTTATTCCGTTTCCATTCAAGAAACTAAACGTGGAAATGGAATAAACAAATTACGAACAAATACACTTGGACATAGCTGGACAAGACTCATCCTTCATGTTCTGGTAGGGAATCGTTTTTGGAGTAGCCAGTGGGTATTTGTAAATCTTGAAAGTTGAAGGTGGCTAACATTTTTGTTCTGCCAACCGTGTTTGGATGGTTGCTCACATGGAGACCTGCAACCACCCAAAGTTGACATGTCACAAACCGTATGCGCCCAACAAAAACAACACCAGTGTTGCGTTGCAAGGAGCCCTGTAACCGGATGACAAAATGAAACAACCGCGTGTCCTGTGCGCATGACTTGCGCCTCCGCCGCTCAATAACTGGGAAGTGCGGCGTTTGTAGCTCGGCAATTTCAAACCACTATCGGCTCTACAAAGCAACGCAGCCCAAATCACTTGAGAGTGGTACTCGTTCACAGCGTTCAGTCTATCACTAGTGGACCGGCCAACCTGCACATGAACACACGAAATGTCTGAGTAGACACGTTTTAAGAAACATGCATACACATATAGTTCAATGTTCCCCGCTTGACCAACTTTTGCCTGCTTCTAAACAAACATTTTTAAATGTGGGCTTGGGCGCAATAACTTTCACAGGACCCCAGTCTTTCTTTGGGCGCAAGTTCCCTGCTCTTGAAGTGAGCCAACCCTGCCAGTGTAACTGAGAGTCATGTTTTGCTGATTTTTTGCTGATGGCCTGTCACATGTTCCAAGCTTCTTGCTCCACCTGAAAATCACTATTCAAGCCGGCAAGGGCAGTTACGGAGCCTAGTCAGGTATAGATTTCCCTCACGCTTTCTGGGGTATACATGGCTTGGCTGGTCACACACCCGCTGCAGCTGCTTTTGTCCGCGCGCACTTTCTTGCTCCTGTCGGCAGCATTAGTTGGTTCAGCTTAAGCTGTTGGCTTTCATCGCTAAAACGGATGGCCGCAACAAAACCGGGAAGAACAGCTTTTACGGAGCCAGCTGGCAGTGCCTGTCCTTGATCACCAGTGACACTGCGGAGTCCGTGGTAATGATGTCGATATAGTTCTTCCGCTTTGAGCCGCGACGAATGTCTTTCCCAGACGTGGGAAATGGCAAACCTTTCAATTGTAACACCATATCCAACTTCGACATTTTATAGCCCACCTAGAAGTCAGAATGCAGAACGCACTGTCCGAATGGTGCCCATGCCAAAACAACGCACAGGAATATGTAGTGATAAGTAAGGCTTCTGTCTCTTGAGGCTTGAGTCATGGACTGGTTTGATGGATATTGTGTGAGATGCGCACCCGCAGCACCCTAATTTCCTTGTCCACCACGGTGGCACACCAAGCAGCACGCCCTCGGAGCCCGGACCCCAATCGCCATAGCCCTGCGCGTGAGGACGCACGACAAACCAAGAGGCTAAGAAATAGAAACAAGTGAGGCAAGTCAAACCAGACATGGTTCACAGGACATGTAATGCTTCCTACTCACCAATGTAAATGAAACAAAACACGATGTGCGCAAGCGGATTCAAGTAAAATCCAGAAGTTACTAACAACACAAAACGCGGTATAACCCTTCTTCAGTCGGTCTGTCGATCTGTCTGTCTTCAAGTGCTCACTGACAAACTGCGTCCACGTACGTTCAATCACATGCCGAGTCACTCACCGTGTAACACACTCAAAAATAATGAACACATGAATGTATGCGGATGAGTGAAGGCTATTGGAGTGCTGTATTCCATGAAACACTGTGGGAACACAAAAAGAACGCAAAACACGAGAAAGCTATCTATAATCACCTTCGAGTGAAACAAAAAAACGACCATCCCCGTTGCTGCCGGCAGGGATGGGGTTGATGTATACATGGGTTTCTACGTTAAAAAAGACAACAACACCAGGATTTGCAGAAACGGCGCGGTTCAACCGGGCTTTGCGACCGGTCCGACCGAGGTGGCATGGACCGGTCCGTCCGGACAGCCGGGCGCCTCGGCTCGGAACTCGTCGAGCGCGAAGACCTCGGCGCTGAGGGAAGCGACGGCGGGAGCGGATCGGGTTTAGATCTTCCCTGAAGATTTGACAAATGTGTAAGAATTCATCAGATAGGTATGTATTTAGTATATAGGTATGTATATATATATAGTTGTATGTTCAAATCTTCCCTTCGAATTAGGGTTGGTATAGGTATGTATAGGTCGTTTGGAGATGTGAGGATGAGCGTTTTTTCCAGGGTCCCATTGACGTCAAACACGACCAAAGAGCGGCGAGGCGACTCCACCGCTTGGACGACCCCGACCCTGAAAACCAGTGCAGCTCGCGTAAAAACCGTCTAGCTAGCGGGTGCCATGGCATGTATAGGGTCCATGGTTCTCAGGCATGTAGGGTCCAAAGATGAACCCAGGTACCTCCTTTTGGGGATTGCCAGGATTTGTAGAGGAAAACTTGTCGTCTTGGATTCAACGGCAGGTTTCAGGGTGCAACTGACTCACCACAAACGATGACCAGTCTGCGTAATTCCATTTCTTTTCGATCCTTCTTAGTCTCAGTGTCGAGGGATGGTCGAAAGTCCCACAAACAAGATTCAGGGGCCGCCAGTCTACCGAGAAACAGGCTCATCATGATGGCCATCTTCTTCTGAGATTCTATTGGGCCCTTGAATCAAACGTCTTGAACGACTCCTGCCAATTCTTCAAAAGCCTGCCAAGGCATCGCTCCCCTCCTCGCTTTGAGGTGGCTTGTTTTGTTGCAATAATCCGATGTTCCCTCCCTACTGCACAAGGAACTCAACACCCGAAGCAACTG